ATAAATCAGTTTCTATCGCTGGAGATGTCAATATTATATCACCAAAATTACAACAACCACCAGTAATATTTTACAACACCACAAACGTACATTTGATTAAAAGTTATTCAGGAAGATTAGACTTTAATGTAGTAAACCCAAGTGGAAATGTCAACTGTTTTGACGTTTTTTCGTTCAGAGATCAAAATGTAATTGACAGACCAAACCAGGGCTTTAAAACAACAATGTTTCCATACGACTTTTCAACTGGAACAGTTGACCTCATATCCAACAAACGATTGATGAGATTCTGTCCAAAAAATGTTATATTTGACAGAAAGACCGTTTGCACAATGAAAGGTGAAACATATCAATCGTTTTATAACAAAAATTACAGTTTTAATGAATACCCGTTTGAATACCTGCACTGTCCTTGTGAAGATAAAGGATCAACAGATTGTATTATCAATTTTAAAAATATATTTACATTTGATTTCAAACATTTCAACTTGGCATCCACGACACTAATAATTGACAAAAATACAAACGTGAACAATTTGGGAACAATCGAAAAAATAATAATGAGCGACAACTATGTTTTAAAAATCAGCAATTTTTTGTTCAACATAAAAACAGTTTTCTCTTTTGGAATTGTAGAGGTTTTGAGAGACGAGTCTCCAAGTGAATTTTCTGTTGAATTTAATACAACAACTCATGTTATAAAATGTATAAACACAACAACTTTAAATATTGAAATATACAACAACATAACACAAATTAAAATTGATACTGTTGGGGTTATAGAATTGTTGGATATATATGGAGGAGTATTTGTATCAATAGCAAAAGGTGTTACAAAAATAACGAACATTAAATACACCTAGAGTGTAGCTAAACCATCAGTAATTTCTTTTGATAATGAACAAACAACACAATCACTTGTAAATGATTGTGTTCTGATTAAATTAACCGAAAGACGGCCGATATGTTTAAAGTGCAATTCAAAAACTAAACTATTCAATGGGGTTTGTGTATTTCCAGACCAAAACTGTGATGAATACAATAAAAATGATGTTTGTGTGGGATGCAAAGAGGGGTATCTTCTAAATATGTCTTACCAATGTATAATTTTTGAAAATGAATGTATACGAGGAACAACCTTGAATTGTTTGAAATGTAAAGATGATTATTTTAATATCGAAGGAAATTGTTACAAAAATGAAACTTGTTTATTCACACATCGAAACTTTTGTTTGAAATGCAAAAATGGAAATCAAGGAAGTGCGTGTCAATCATGTCACAATAACAATTGTGCATTTTGTGAATATGATAAATGTACTATTTGTCAAGACAATTTTTATATAGATGATAGTGAAAATTGTCAAAATAACGATATAATATTATCAAATGGAATAAACCCTAT